CTTTGAATACACTGCTTTGCAACTAGGAAGTATTTAATAAATGAAAGTCTACGTCAGACCTTTCCACATGTAAATTACAAACAAATTAATGAACAGGAAAGTTTACAGTGTTAATACTGAGGTTTCTGATGCTGAACAAGGTCAGTAAGACTTGAGACCAGCCTACATGTAAAATGCTACCCTTTCAGGCTTTCTTGGCAGCGTGCATAATGGTTTTACTAACCGAGTAACAGGAAGGGTCAACGGTACCTTGGGAGTAATGGCAAAAACATTCTAAAATTAGATTCCTACTGGCTGCAGGTAAAACTGACAGAGATCACGATAGTTTCCTTTTGTCTCCTCCAGGTTGTGATGACTTGGTATGATGAAATTTGATCTGATTTAGGAGAATGTTGTTTGATTTGGAGATTACAGGACATTGGTACTTCAACAGGTGTATTGCCTACAATGACAGACATCATCTTCCTCCCTTCCTGTCCTATAAATGGAAGGTCCTCCTCATCCTGTAAGGTGTGTTCTGTCCTCTTCTAAGGAGTTTCACCTAACATGCTGCCTTCTCCTGACTGGTTATTATATGAGTTAAAAAAAAAAATGCAGGTGAACTTTAAGAAATCCTTAGCTAAAATATTTCTACATAGTGTGGGTATCCACACTATGGAGTATCCACAAATATGGTCAGGTAGAGTGAATATCTTAAAAGGAGACTTTTCTGACATGCTCAAGGCTCTGAGGGGGCTGAAATTGCACTGAAGGAGACCTCAGGTTGGGCTGAGGCTAAACCTTAGAGCTCCTATCAGGGACTGAAAAAAGGAGATCCAAAGCAGCTTTCTATATTATCATTCAGTATTTAGAAATTTTCCTGTTAATTTGAAAGCCTGCCATTTTATGCACATTATATAGACAAATAATAGCATAGCTAATTTGTGGTCAGTACTTTGAAAATAGTTTTGCTATATATTTATTTAATGAACAAGCTTGGATGTGTTGTTACTGGGAATATTCTCCGTGGAGGTCTGGTGCATCCTAACCATGCATGTTGCACTGATACAAGCAGCATCATTCACCTTGAGGCATGACCTCAGAAGGAAACAAGCTTCAATTGGGACTTGCCTGAAATTCCAGACACATATCATTCATTACATGTTTCTGTTTCCACAGTTGTGATTTGTTATCTCACTAATATGAAATAGAAAAACTAAGGAAATATAGTACCATCATATTTCTGGTGCTATGCATCATTTTACATATATATTTCCACCCTTCAAGAATCTTTGTAATTTCATCTGGGAGTAACTGTCCACCACTGCAAACTATGTTGTATCTCTGCCTTAATAAGTGGGTTTTTGGGGTTGTATGGTTTGAAAAACCCAATTTCTAAAAGGCAATTTTCTGGTAATGAAAACCCTTGGAACGTGGCCCTTTTTATGGACAACAGACAGTGTTTGTTTTGGGGATCACACTTGATGTCTTATTAGCTCTGTAGGACCTCCCAAAGACTCTGCTATGTTAAAATAGCTTCTGACAACATATGGTCACCTCCATGTATACGAGCAGGGCTATTGAGAATGCATTAGATGTGTAAGATGTTATACATCACATTTACTTCATTACTCCCTTGGGATTCTGTTCCACTTTAGATGAATAGTTCCTTCTGATTAGAAAGTTTAAATATCCAACTAGTCTCAAACTTTTTATAACAACTTGAGCTAAATGCAATGTCATCCCTGAAATAACTGTAATAAAATGCAGTGTGATACATACAGTGAAAAGCTCTGGTTTTTGGATCCTAAGACCTGTTTTCAAGTCCCAATTCAGTCTCTTACTGGCTACATGACTTTCGGCAAGATACTTCTCTACTCTGAACATCTGTCTCCTCACCTGTGAAACTGGTATAGTACATGCCACCTTTACAGTAATAGCTCTCAGGATCAAGTGAGATGTCACATATAAAACACATCACGAACTACAGTATTATGTAAATGTAAAATACTACTGTTAAAATGTATTTTGGTGAGAAATTATACACACTTTGGTAGTGGTTCTCTTTATCAATCATGAAAATTGTGTTAGAATACTACAATATGGGTTAAGGAAGCAGATATTCAAAATACTCATCATCAGTTCCTACACATGGACACTATGAACCATGTACTGACAGATGTGTACAAGCTTCTGTACTTTCTTTTCACACAACTCATAGGTAAATAAAAACCTAATAATAGACTCTGCTTTGGATGTCCTGTGTAACCCTGAAAATGGTCATAGGTGCTATGATGGTTCAGACTCAAATTGCTATCTCCTGCCTTTATACCTTAATATAATTTCCTGTATTTTTTTTTAAAAAGCCAGACAACTGTCACTGTCACCATCACTTCAGCTAACATTTATATACTGCTTTAAGGTTTGCAAAACACTCTACAGATACTGTTTCATTTGATCACCACAAAAACCCTGTGGGGTAGGTGTTATTATTATCCTTGTTTTATAGATGAGCAAATTGGAGGCAGAAAGAGACAAAGTGACTTGCTCAGGGTCACACAGCTAGTAAGAGTCTGAGGCCTGATATGAACTCAGGTCTTCCTGATTTTTGTCATTTGAGTTTGTCATTTAAGTTCACATGGGAATTAATGAGATCATATTAATATTCTCACTAATTCTAGTAGACTGGCTGAGAGGTTGGTATAATGAATAGCCCAGATGCTACACTGATATCTTTGAAATGTAAAAGACCCACAAGATTATATACAGCATTCTCTACAAAGAATTTTTCATATGGAAAAGAACAAAACAGAATGAGAAGGTGTGCATGGGCTGTAATCTACATCATTAGAGGAAGTACTCATATACATAAGGCTCCTTAGAGTACCAAAGTAAAGCATAAATGTTTGTGGGATGTGACTTGGTTTGGGTCAATGTGGCAACTTTGACCCAAATGCATCTAAGTTTTTCACAATAAAAAAGGAGGCTGAACTCAGAGACACTGAGAAATTGGAGACGATCAAGAGTCAATGAGGAGTTTCACATCAAAATTATACAGCAGAACATATATAACCAAATAACTCATTACTACATTCAGAGAAGTCATGGTTCTAAATTTATTTTCCTTTGACAGCAAGGTTCATATCTAGTGAGTTTTTATTCCTTTCTAAAGAAATATTACTAAAACCTTTTGTTTTTATATAATTTTCATTTCATATAAATATATGAATACATACATATGCATAAGTGTAGGTAAGTACACATTCACACACACACATGCATAGTCCTCTCCCCCAGAAAGTCATCTTATGTAACAAAGAATAAGGGAGAGGAAAAAAAAAATCAGTTCAACAAAACTTAAAAAATACATATATTCAGTCTGCAGGTATAGGCAATGTTACATACTCATTGTTTTTCTGAACTCTTCTTAGGGACCAGGCTTGGTTATTATAAATATATTCTATTTAGGGGTTTTTTTGGTGGGTAGAGGGTGGATGGGAGTTCTCTCCACTTATATTACTGTAACTGTGTTTCTTGTTTTACTGGTTCTACTTATTTAATTGTGCATCACTTCATGTACGTCTCATGCTTCTCTATAATTTTCACAGTCACCATTTCTCACCGTGCAATAATATTCCATTACATTCATGTACCATAATTTGCTTAGCTATTCACTAGTTAGTGGGCATCCACTTTGATTAGAGTTATTTGCTTCTACAAAAATTGCTACTATAAAATATTTTAATGTTTTCTCTCTTTGATCACCTTGGGGTATATGTCAGATAGAAGAATTTGCAGATCAAAGGGTATGGATATTTTAGGCACTTTATTATCATAATTCAAAGTTGTTAACTGGAATGATTAGACCACTTCATAGCTCTATCAAAAATATATCAGTGTTCTTGTCTTTCCACAGCTCTTTCAACACTGACTATTCCTACTTTTTGTCATCCCAGCCAATCTGCAGAATGTGAGATGGAGCCTCATTACTTAATATTTTCAAGAGTTAAGTATCAAGTCATACCTTCATACCTTAGATTCTTTAGTATGCACCAAATCATCAAGCAAAAAAATTCTTTAACCCAAAGCAGATTTAAAGTTCAGTTGGACAGTGGTCACTAGGAAACTAACACTATTAATGTTTAAATGAGATTAAGGAAGTAGCCCATAGTGACTCTCCAACCACCCCTCTTCCATTCACTGCTCAAGCCTGCAGCCTGATAGATCCCTTCCTCCTTTCCCTTTTGCAAGCAGGGTAAGTAGAAATGTTTTTTTGTCCTGTTTTTACTGCTAATCAGACAGCCTATCAACTATCAAAGTATAAGTTAGGACAAAAAGTCAAAGACGGACCCACGTAAAAAATGGATCTATTATAACTAATTTAGGGAATGAGAAATCATAGCAATATTTGAATTGACAGAGAGAAATTGAGAACAACAGATAAAATTTGGAACTGTCTGAGAAGCTAATGTCTATGATCTTCCAAGAGTTAGGAAAATAAGAACTAAGTTCAACTGCTACTTTAATTGCCTGAACTGCAGGAAAAAGACTATTGGGTGTGTGTGTAGAGAGAAAGAATGACTAGGATGGGAGGCACTGGTCAAGATAAGAAACTAGAATAATGATCCCTTGATAGCCTTTAAGATTTTTTTTTTTAGAATTCATTTGTTATTTTCCCAGTCACATTCTGAAAACCTTTATGGTTTGGCACGTCTCTTTATCTGTTTTCTTTATGCACTGAAATGTACATAAAGTGAAAAGATTAGAAACAGCAAGTAATAATAGCATGTAATTAGCATCTTACACTTAGTAGGTATTGTCTATAGCCTTTAATCCCAGACTTTTCATTCTAAAACTCAGTTGCAAATAGATAGGCTTATGCATGTATGGCAGAGATATATACATTTTTACCCCAAAGAAGAGTAAAAGAGAGAGGCAGGAAAGGCAGAGAAAAGAATGAATGATCAAAAGCACTTTTTAAAGTTATTTTTAGTCATCATGGTAAGGCAAATTCTACTCACATTGTTAGATCTGAATTTTTCTTTTTGAGAATATATAGTCCAATCCAAAAGCTTAATTATTGGCTCAGTAAAAAATACTGAGGTTTCATTTCCAGACCAGAAGGTTTTAAGAAGAAAGGACTGTTCTGGGACTTTTAGGCTCTGAGAATCTGCCTCTTCATATAACCTAGGAAAAAAATGAACAAAACTTAAATGTAAGTTAATTTGATTATTGTAGTTACTTGGGAGAAAATATCAAGTCTCTTGTCAAAACACAAACAAGTTTAGCAATTTTTAAATATAGAACTATCACTATTTTTGATGAGTCATATGTAAAGTAACAATGACAATCAGTCAAACTGAAATAATTCAAATGTTGTGCTAAAGTTGGATAAACAGAATTATAATAATGAAGTAGAGATGAAAAAACATAGTATCAGGCTATAAAACAACCAATAATGTATATGTATTGGATGTTCAATTTCAGAATGTGGAGATGAAACTTTTCAACATTTACATGTACAAACTGAATAAATCAGTGTTATGCCCAAGAAGGATTTTTCACTTAAGCATTCAATTACTAAAGAATAAAAAATTAAAACCTGAAAAATGAAAAGCCTCACACCTTTATGATACAAAATTAAACACCTATTCAAATGTATAACTTGGTGAAAATAAAATGTGAACTGTGAAACAGAAAAAAGACGAGATAAACCATTACTCTACTGCTGACAGAATTAATATTTAATGCCAAAAACTTTAAAAAAAAAACAAAACAAAACCCCAAAACTCAGAACAACAATCCAACCTTAAATAACTGGACCGAAATAGACATGAAAGATGATTGACTTCCTGGACAAAACTTTAGAAATAAAGTAGGAAACGGGCACACAAGAACAATGCAAACGGAGGAAGAAATGATCCTTCGTGTAAAACTCACTTGTGATTCAGATGCTGGACTTCACTTTTCATTAGTTTGAACAAGAATTTTAGTAATGACGGCTTGAGCATCTTGGACACAACTCCTTCTGGAACTGGGTGACAAAAACTTTCACTGAAAAAAACAAGAACCCAAGAATCTTCAAGATTCAAACAAATTCACTGATTAACTGATGGAGAAGTGCCTCTTTTAAAATAATGCCAGAGTTTAAATAACAGTTTGATCAACAAATTGTGGAACAAGTTAAACAAAGCTACGTGATTAATATTTGTGCCTCCTTTATAAATGTAATGACAGATTGAACTCTCCAGCAGTTATCCTTCTATTACTTCTAGCAATCGGTATATTTTATCATTGCGTGTTTTAAAGAACACAGATCTAATTTCTCTAATTCTTCTCAGTGATTGCAATGTTCAACTGCCTTATGTTATTGTCTTCACATCTTCCTTATTGCTCTGATAAATGGGAGAATGATGAATACTGAACTTAAGTGGTGTAGGCCCTTAGCAAATAAAAAATTACCTTGAATACTTAAGGTTTTCAACTTTACCTTCCTCTTTCCACAAAATCATCCCCATGTTCACTGTTTAACAAAGCACAGTTATAAAGTTTAAAAAAAAAATCACAATTTTGTTCCTTTTCATCTTCTCCAGTGATTCTCATAGAGTGGGTGAGAGTCAGATTACTCAGAGGCATGGAGTCATGGAGGTATAATGGGAAGAACAGGGGACTCTGAAGTCAGACATGCATGAGCCTGGACAAGTCACAACCTCACTGGGCTTCAGTTTCTTCATCGGAAAAATGAAGGGGCTTAACTGGATGGTCTCCGAGGTCCCTTCCAGTTCTCCATCTATGATCGGATGAGCCATAGGATGAAAAGATAATTTCTTCCAAATTTATAGAACAATGCTATTGGTGATGTCACTTTATCACTGTACTCTCATTTTTTTGTTCACTTATGCTGCTTGTATTATGCTGTTTACACACGGTTTCTCATCATCCCCCTCCCCCCTAACCATCTACTATGAGGCAGCTAGGTGGTATGGTTCATAGAGTGCCAGACTTGGAATCAGGCTAGACCTGAGTTCACGTCCTGCTTCAAACACTTACTAGTTGTGTGACTCTGGGAAAGTCACTTACCCTCTCTTAGCCTGAATTTTCTCATCTGTAAACTGGGGATAATACGAGCATTTACTTCCTAGGGTTGTTGTGAGGCTCAAATGAGATAATACATGTAAAAGCACTTTGCAAACCTTAAGGTTCTATATGATATCTATTATTATTACTATGACAAACCACAGCTCAGCTGAGAATATTTTGCTAACAATCAGTCAAACTGAAATATAACTCAAGTGTTGTGCTAAAGTTCGATAAACAGAATTATAATAATGTTAGCAAATTATAATATTGCTGGTAAACAAGGCCTTCCACAAGTTGATTCAAACTTCCCTCTCCAACCATTCCTTTCAAAGACAAACTGCTCAGTTTTAGCCCAGGCAGTTTTTTGAATATAGCACCCCTCCTAAGCCCCCTGAGGGAAGAAATTTGGTAGAATGGAAAAATCACTGGCTTTGGGGAAAGAGAATTGGGGGGTGGGTGCGTGTGAAGGGGGGAGAAGAGAGGAAAAGATTTCCATTCTATTCAACCAACATTTATTAAATGCCTACAAACAGGGCCCTGAGGAGATAAATGAAAATTGATAGTCTTTGCTATTAATCAGTTATTATCTAGTAGGGAGATGATTATATTGGAGTTCTTCACTTCTTCATGTCATAAACCCTTCTGGCATTCTGGTGAGGCCCCTTCGCAGAATACTTTTTTTTTTAAAATTCATGGTAATTTTAATTTATTTTTTTGTTTTCAACATTTACTTCCACAAGATTTTGAGTTCCAAATTTTCACCCCATCTCACCCCTCCCCCCACCCCAAGATGGCATGCATTCTGAATACCCCCTTCCCTAGTCTGCCTTCCCTTCTATCTCTCCCCCTCTTCCCCTTCAATTTTCCTATATGGCAGGATGGATGTCTGTACCCCATTTCCTGTATTTCTTATTTCCCAGTTGCATGTGAAAACATTTTTTTAAACATGTGTTTTTAAAACTTTGGGTTCCAAATTTTCTCCCTTCCTCCCTCCCCATCCACCATCATTGATAAGGCAATCAACTAAATATAGGTTATATATGTGCAGTTATGCAAAACACTTCCATAGCAGATATGTTGTAAAAAACTAACTCTATTTCCCTTAATCCTATCCCACCCCCCCATTTATTCTATTCTTGCTTTTGACCCTGTCCCTACTCAGAAGTACTTGCTTCTGATTACCCCCTTTCCCAATCTGCCCTCCTCTCTATCATCCCCCAACTCTCTTGTCCCCTCCCCCCCCATTTTCCTGTAGGATAAGACAGATTTACATACCCAATTGAGTGTGTATGTTATTCCCTCCTTAAGTCAAATCTTATGAAAATAAGATTCACTCATTCCCTCTTACCTTCCCCCGTTTCCTCTCCAGTGTAAGAGCCTTTTCTTTTCTGGTTTTTTTTTGTGAGATAATTTACCCCATTCTACCTCTCCCTTTCTCCTTTTCCTAGTATAATCCTCTCTCACCCCTTAATTTTATTCTCCAGATATGACCCCTTCGTTTTCAACTCACCCTGTGCCCTCTATCTATCTATCTATCTATCTATCTATCTATCTATCTATCTATCTATCTATCTATCTATATCTATGTATATGTACATATAATTTTTTCCCCTCCAACTACCCTAATATTGACAAAGGTCTCATGAGTTACAAATATCATCTTTCCATGCAGGAATATAAACAGTTCAACCATAATAAGTCTCTTACGATTTTCTCTTTCCTGTTTACCTCTTCATGTTCCACTTGAGTCTTGTATTTGAAAATCAAATTTTCTATTCAGCTTTGGTCTTTTCATCAAGAATGCTTGAAAGTCCTCTATTTCACTGAATGACCATCTTTTCCCCTGCAGGATTATACTCAGTTTTGCTGGGTAAGTGATTCTTGGTTGTAATCCTATCTCCTTTGCCCTCTGGAATACTATGTTCCATGCCCTGCGGTCCCTTAATGTAGAAGCTGCTAATTCCTGTGTTATCCTGATTGTGTTTCCACAATATATGAAGTGTTTCTTTCTGGCTGCTTGTAATATTTTCTCCTTGACCTGGGAACTCTGGAATTTGGCTACAATATTCCTAGGACTTTTCCTTTGGGGATCTCTTTCAGGAGGAGATCAGTGGATTCTTTCAATTTCTATTTTGCCCTCTGGTTCTAAAATATCAGGGCAGTTTCCCTGGATAATTTCTTGAAAGATGATGTCTAGGCTCTTTCTTTGATCATGGCTTTCAGAGAGTCCAATAATTTTTAAATTCTCTCTCCTGGATCTATTTTCCAGGTCAGTTGTTTTTCCAATGAGATATTTCACATTGTTTTCTAATTTTTCATTCTTTTGGATTTGTTTTACAGTGTCTTGATTTCTCATAAAGTCACTAGCTTCCAATTGCTCTATTCTAATTTTTAAGGAAGTATTTTCTTCAGTAATCTTTTGGACTTCCTTTTCCATTTGGCCAATTTTGCTTTTTAGGGCATTCTTCTCCTCATTGGCTTTTTGGACTTCTTCTGCCATTTGGGTTAGGCTATTTTTTAAAGTGTTATTTTCTTCAGTATTTTTTGGGTTCTCCTTTAGCAAGCTGTTGACTTGTTTTTCATGATTTTCTTGCATCACTCAGTTTTCCTCTACTTCTCTTACTTGCTTCTCAAAATCCCTTTTGAGCTCTTCCAAGGCCTGGGACTGATTCATATTTTTCTTGGAGGCTTTGGATGCAGGAGCTTTGGCTTCGTTGTCTTCTTCTGGTTGCATGTTTTGATCTTCTTTGTCACCAAAGTAAGATAATATAGTCTGACTCTTATTGTGCTGCTTACTCATGATCCTGGCCAATTACTTGAGTTTTAAACTCTTTGTTAAGGTAAAAAATCTGCTTCCAATGTGGAGAATGTACTGTCCCACGCTTCGGGGGTTTGTATAGCTGTTTTCAGAGATATTTCTAGGGACCTGAAAATTTTCAGTTCTTCCAAGGTGCTATGATAAGGGGCGAGGTGTTTTCTCTCCACCGTCACAACAAGCTTCATCACACCAGCATTCCTCCTCGCTCCAGGACCGCCCCTCAGAACTGTGACCCAGATCCAAGCACGGTAAAGCAAGAGATTCCTGCCTCAGCACTAGCAAAGAGATCCCTGCAATACCCCTCTGATCAGCCACTTGATTCCTCCTCAGTCTGTGGGCCGGAAGCTCAGGAAACAGCTGAGGCCCCAGAGGCTGCGCTCAGAACTTGCGACTGAGACCTAGCTTCTCCTTGACCTTTTCCCACTGACCTTCTAAGTTGTCTTTGGCGTTCATGGGTTGAGAAGTCTGGAAACTGCCACAGCTGCCTACCATTCAGTCCTCTGAGGCCTGCTCCAGGGTTGCTGTGGCCTGCGCACCCACACCAAACTGCGCTCCTCTCCCTGCCCCACGCGATATACCTTTCAAAGCAACCATCCAGGTTGTCTTTGGCTGGAAATTTGTTTCTGTCTGTCTTTTGTGGGTTCTGCTGCTTTAGAATTTGTTTAGAGGCATTTTTTATAGTTATTTGGAGGGGTTTGGGGGGAGAACTCAAGCAAGTCACTGCTTTCTCTCCGCCATTTTGGCTCCACCCCCAAACAATATTTTCAAAAGTATAAAATAAAATACAATGGACTACAAAGGAAATCAGCTATATTTAAGTAAAGATTTAACCCCTCCCTCCATTCAAGAACATGGACCACAGGTTAATAACCCTTAAACTAATATGTACACAAATAATTATGAGTTATACTGAACAGGAAAAGTCAAAGAGGGGCATAAGAAGGAAGAATGCATTTCCCTGGAGGATCAGCGAAGGCATCAAAGCAGGATGAGGTTATACCTCAGCTCAGCCGTGAAGGAAGACGAGAATTTTAATAGGTAGAGACAGAAAAGGGAATGTCCCAGGCATGGGGAGCTGTGTGCAAAGGAAGGAGTGAGAAGCGACAAGATAGCATGGACACAGGGGAATGAGGAGTCCAGTTTAGCTGGAACTTTA